TCTTATTTTGAAACTGTCTTCCTGTGCAGTACCCGGCAGAGAACCGCTGGTATCAGATCGGCATCGTGTCATGGGGAGAGGGCTGCGATCGTGACGGGAAGTATGGCTTCTACACTCACCTGTTCAGGATGACCAGGTGGATAGGCAAAGTTATTGAAAAGATGGGAGGAAGCGAAGATGAGTAAACACAAACCATCGACGTCAATCACTTCACATTCAACCCTGTTAAGTAACATGGCCCCAGTAAAGATTGTCGACGTATTGTACCCTGGCCTCTGGTGTTAATCAAGCCTTGGTTTGCAGCAATAAGAGTCAGAGAGTTAAAGTCCCATCAGAGCAGCTTTTATATGAACAAAGATAGAAAATCAAACCGGCAGGAGGTCAAAGTTCGCGCTCAGATACAAACAAGACAGCACAAACAGCCATCTTTACATTTAAGGTCACAGCAGTCACTACAGTGGCAGGCATGGCCTCATAGTCCATTACTATTCTGATAAACAACATATCCTAAACCAGGATTTACTACACAGACATAACACATGTGGGATGTGTTGATAATTTTCAGGTTGGGCAGGATTTCCCTGCTCAAAATGGATCTTAATGTGTTGACTATAAATGTAAGTTGAACAGGTCTACGTATACTGTAATTTATTAAGGCAATGACGCTGTGTAAACTGAGCACAACTCTATGAATTTCCCATTCAGACCATTTAATAACCAAAAAGCCAACGTGATCTTAGGAGTTCTCTGGGAATTTTTCCAGAGGTTTGTAGCTACCAGTCAACAGATTGTTAACATAAACAGAGGTTATAGCTGCACTGTACATCCCTTTACTGTTTATTCATACATGACAGAGGCTCTAAAGTGTTCTCATTATGTTTGTTTACTCCTGAATCATCTTCATCTGTTGAGCCATTTTCATGATCTCTTTGACTTCAACAAGTTTCTCCAGCAGTGCTACTCTGTTAACCAAAGTTCAGTTTAAAGCATTACAGTTACAGCAGTGATACAAACTAACCACCAAATCCAAGCCCAGAGATGACCTCAACTTTTCCTGAGCACCAGTGGGCTATTAACTATTAACGAACTCTAAGAGGTAGAGTGATAAGCTTGTGTTTCCTTTCCAACATTTATCTCCTTAGTCTGCAGCTGGATGGACTAAAACTCCAACATCTGGGAATGCAGTTGAAGATCAGAGCCTGACAGAGGTGGAGAAGCTCTTCACGAACCTGCATCGCAAGCTGCAGTCCAAGATGATGGTAGTTAAAATCTGACTCAGATTTGGTGTTTCAGATTGTGTGTGTATTCCTGCCTTAGAGGCTAAGTGTTTTGGGTGAGAAGACAAGATTTTGATTGTTTAATCTTCCCGATTTAGTTATCTCCATTCTTTATAATTTAACAAAGTAGAGCACAATTGCTGAAAAGTGCCACAAGGTGGAGCCCCGTTCCTTGCTGTGCTCAACTATGGTAGTTATAGCACAATACAGAACAGATGATTTTTTTGTATAAATATGAAAAACTGAACTTACCAAGAAGACTGTTGGAGGACTGATAAATGAAGGCTGAGTTCAGACAGCTTAAAACTTTAAAAACTTGTTTGGGTTGATCTTGTTACACCACATAATAATACCAACTACAGATAGACAAAGAGGTTTGTAGTTTGGTGTATATTTCAGATTAAGGACAAAGGCTGGAACAATTTTTGTACATGTAAACAGAGTCAGTGACACAAATTGATTAAACACTTTGTTTAACAGCAGAGTAAACATTAACGTGCTCCAGTCGACCTCGGGGTCTGCAATGTTCACCGGGTCACGTTTAAGATCACCAAAAATAAGAATTTAACATCTTTTTAAGTCAAAATCATGAAAAAATGGCCTTTTATTATCCTATTAGTGTAAGCGCTTCCCACCAATGTGAAACTAACAGATTAGTGATGTAGTAATGTAACGTGTCACTGTACAAGAAAACAGTCATTCATTATATTTACTACCAACAGCAACTGAAGCAACGGACCCTGGACTTACTCCACTAACAGGACAGCGTATTCAGCTCCGCTGCTCATCAGTAAAGCTTGCGGTGATGCAGCTGTGAACTGAGCGGCAAATATTTGAATTTTCTTTGTAAAACTTTCGAAAAATCTGACGTTTTTTGACCAACAGCTGGAAACTGAGTGAAATTTAGTTTCAATACAAAATGAGAGACCAGAAAATTTACTTTATCAATACTGAATTTGAATGAATCAAGTTTTTACCTGCAATGTTAAAAATTTACTATGTTCCATGTTTTATATTTACCTTTTTAAACATTAAAAAAAAATTATACTCCATTATTTATTTATACATTACTGACATTTTTGCTAACTTAGTCGAGACTTAAGAGTGAAACATTTACTTTTATATTTCATGTCATTCACAAAATATTAAAAATAAACGTCATGTAAAATATTTATTATGCTCATTGTTATTAATTAGTATTTATTTATTATTATTTCTATAAATCTTGAGCATGATTACCTAATTACTGTTTTTTAATAATTAATTAATACTTTTATGAAATAATACTTATGTGTTTTCAACTTTAATTGATTTTTGACCTTGTGTATTCAGGTGAGCAGTCGATTGTGTTGTCATTTACATTTTTCATACATTGGAAGATTTTTTCCATTTATAGTAAAACAAAAATGTTTGAATGTAAGAAAAACGTAAATGAGAGCATGTCAATAAAAACACATCAGTAAAATATGTTTTAAGTATTAAAAAAATACAAATAAAATATTCATAAACATTCAAAATAAAGTTTCTTTGATTCGTGAATGAATGATCAAACTCGCTTCATCAGCTGAAGTTGCAGAACTGCTTCCTGTTGTTTCCAGCTGTTAGTTTTGCCTGTAAATCAGATCCACGCAGATCACCTGCTCCCACCTCAAACTGCATCACCACAAGTCGACTCAGACTCGGGAATCTGCGATCGATTCACTCACTGCAGGAATGAACGCATGAAACTCGTACAACGCGCACAGTTCTGATTTAAGCACATCCTCAGGGTTCCTCGACCACCTGCACCTCGCTGTCGGCAGTCCGGTGTGTGAGCAGGTGTCTGTTCAGGTGAGTTTTTCGGGTGTAGCTCTTGGTGCAGAAGGTGCAGGCGTAGGGACGGATGTTGCTGTGGGACAACATGTGTTTCTTCAGGTCAAACTTCCTCCGTAAACATTTCCCGCACTCCGGACACGAGAACGGCTTCTCTCCTGGAAAACAGACCGAGAGGCGCTCGGGTTCAGAACCGGCACAAAAGCATCTGGAGTTACGACAGCATATCTTTGTGTACCGTGATCATGTGACCAGCTTCCTGTCTTACCTGTGTGTATCCTCCGGTGTTCAGTCAGGTGACAGGAAATGGAGAAGGCCTTCCCGCAGTCCTGGCAGACATAGGGCCGCTCGCCCGTGTGCGTCCTCATGTGTTTCTGCAGGTCACCGCCAGACGGCCAGCCTTTACCGCACACCGTGCACACGTACGGCCGCTCCCCGGTGTGCCGCCGCACATGCACGTTGAGGCCAGCGAGCGCGGTGAAGTCTTTGGAGCAGTAGGGGCAGCGGTAGGGCCGCTCCCCAGTGTGTGTCCTCAGGTGGCCCTCCAGGCCATCGCGGGTCTTGAAGCGCTTGCCGCACTGCGAGCACAGGAAGCGGCTCTCAACGGTGTGGGTCGCCCGGTGGGACTGCAGGCCGGTGAGCGAGCCGTACGTCTTGCTGCACAGGTCGCACTGGTACGTGCGGAAGGTGTGTGTGCGCTGGTGGATACGAAGCTGGGTCACCCCTGGAGACACAAACATTTAAACACATGTTTAACGTCCTCTGGGAAAAGGAGACTCACATCATGGATGTGTGCCAGTATGGATCAGGATCTCCAAGGAATGTTTTCATCACCTCTGTTCAATCTGCGCAACACAGAAATAAGAAACAAGGACCGGACGCAGGACTGATAAGGTGTATCTAATAAAATGACAGTGAGTATAAATGCCATTTTGTTCATTAAGCTTGTGTTGTTTCCTTTTTGCGTAAAAATCAGATGTGCATCGAGAGCTGCCACCACACTGGATGTAATGAAACCCTTTTCTAAATCCTGCAGCTGCTTTTACAATGTGAATTATGATCTGAAAATGTTTTACTTTCCCAAGATGAGCTCTACAAATTCTCTATAGGCTCTGTTCACGTGTTTGTTTTACAGCAGCTGGCAGCAAAGTGCTAGTGACCAAAACACTGACGACTCGCTGTGTAATACCTCTTTGAGACGGTCTTCATGTTTTTTCCCTAGCACACGGTGGTTACCAGGGGAGGGAAGAAAACAGCGGGCAGGTTAACAGTACATGGTTAACAATCATGTGACTGCAAAACCTGAGCAGGTCTGAGGAAAAGTAAAAAAATAAAAAGTATAGCGCTCGATTATTTCGCCAAGTATTTTTGTCGCTTCAGGGTTAATAGGATGAAAAATAATTATTCTTTCTTGGAAAATAAATTTTCAGATGATGACGGTTGTTGATGAGCAGGCTTTTCGTTTTTTAACATTGTGTTGTAGCTCTGAAATGGAAAATAATTATAAAGGAAAATAATGAAAGCATCAGACTCTTGACTGTTTTAGAGCAGCAGCTCAACAGCAATGTTTTGTTCCACCGTCATCCTTTTTCCCAGAAACATCTTTAACAGAGGGCTGACTCAGATGAACTTGATGTGAACCTGCTGTTTGCTGCTCACCGAGTGAGTCAAACACACACAGCCGCCTCGCTGAGCTTTTAAAACCAGATCTGCTGCTAAGCTGCAGAGGTCAATGAGCCTGTGGAAAGTGCTCTGAGTTAGTGGGGTTCACCGCTTTCAGTGGTCTACCTGAGAAGGTCTGGTCACAGAAGCGGCAGTTGTAGCGGAGCTTCGCCCCCTCCACCGAGTGCGTCTGCAGGTGTCGCAGCAGCCGCGTCTGTGAGCTGAACGTCTGATCACACATCGTGCAGGTGAGGTCGGGCAGCCGGTGCTGCAGCCGATGGGCGTCCCTGTCCTTGGCCGACTCGAACACCTTGTTACACCGGCTGCAGGTGAAACCTCCCTTGTCCAGGTGTGTCTGCTTGTGATTGGTCAGGCTGGATAGATGGTGGAACTCCTTGTCGCACTGGACGCAGTGGTAGATGGGGCGGGCCCGGTGTGTGCGCTGGTGCGACAGCAGCTCGGCTTTGGTCTTGAACATGGCGTTGCACTGGAAGCAGGACAGAGACCTGACGGGT